TGATGGCGTAGTGGCACTGTAGACTGATGAGCGTAGTGGCACTGTGGACTGATAGCGTAGTGGCACTGTGGGTTGACGGGTGTAGTGGTGCTGTTGGCGACGGGTTTGGCACCGGGGGCACTGTGGGCGGCGGGTGCACGGGGACGGTTGGACTGTTGGCTGACGGGTTTAGTGGCACTGCGGGCTGGCGGTGTAGTGGCACTGTGGGCTGACGGGTGTAGTGGCACCGTGGGCTGACGGGTGTAGTGGCACCGTGGGCTGGCAGGTGTAGTGGCCATGTGGGCTGACAAGTATAGTGGCACTGTTGGCTGACGGTGTAGTGGTACTGTTGGCTGACGGTGTAATGGCACTGTTGGCTGACGGTGTATGTGGTACTGTTGGCTGACGGTGTAGTGGCACTGTGGGTTGACGGGTGTAGTGGTACTGTTGGCTGACGGTGTAGTGGTACTGTTGGCTGACGGTGTAGTGGTACTGTTGGCTGACGGTGTAGTGCTGTTGGCTGACGGTGTAGTGGCACTGTGGGTTGACGGGTGTGGTACTGTTGGCTGACGATGTGGTGGTACTGTTGGCTGACGAATGAAGTGGCACTGTTGGCTGAATAATAGTGGTACTGTTGGCTGACGGTGTAGTGGCACTATAGACTGATAGGTGGCACTGTGGGTTGACGGGTGTAGTGGTACTGTTGGCTGACGGTGTAGTGGCACATAGACTGATAGCGTGTGTGGCACTGTGGGCTGACGGTGTAGTGGCACTGTTGGCTGACGGTGTAAGTGGCACTGTGGGTTGACGGGTGTGGTACTGTTGGCTGACGGTGTAGTGGCACTATAGACTGATAGCGTGGTCACTGTGGGTTGACAGGGTAGTGGTACTGTTGGCTGACGGTGTAGTGGCACTATAGACTGATAGCGTAGTGGCACTGTGGGTTGACGGGTGTAGTGGTACTGTTGGCTGACGGTGTAGTGGCACTATAGACTGATAGCGTAGTGGCACTGTGGGTTGACGGGTGTGAGTGGTACTGTTGGCTGACGGTGTACACCATACGACACATTTGACAGTGGCACTGTGGGCTGATGGCGTATAGCCTGATGGATGCGGTGGCACCTATAGACTGATAGCGTAGTGGCACTGTGGACTGATGAGCGTAGTGGCACTGTGGACTGACGTAGTGGCATCGTAGACTGATGGGCACGTGGGTGTGCGAACTGAGCGTTACTGTTGGGTTGACGGTGTAGTGGTACTGTTGGCTGACGGTGGGTATGGCACTGTAGGCTGATGGTGTAGTGGCACTGTAGACTGATGAGCGTAGTGGCACTGTGACTGATAATGGTGGCTGCGTTGGACAGTTGAAAGTGGCACTGTAGACTGATGGCGTAGTGGCACTGTGGACTGATAGTGAGTGGCACTGTGGGTTGACGGGTGTAGTGGCACTGTGGGCTGATGAGCGTAGTGGCACTGTGGACTGATAGCGTAGTGGCACTATAGACTGATCGTAGTGGCACTGTGGGTTGACGGGTGTAGTGGTACTGTTGGCTGACGGTGTGGTGGCACTATAGACTGATAAGCGTGTGGCACTGTGGGTTGACAGGTGTAGTGGTAGCGTTGGCTGACGGTGTAGTGGCACTGTGGGTTGACGGGTGTAGTGGTACTGTTGTGACGGTGTAGTGGCACTATAGACTGTGAAGCGTAGTGCACTTGTGGGTTGACAGGTGTGTAGTGGTACTGTAGACTGATGAGCGTAGTGGCACTGTGGACTGATAGCGTAGTGGCACTGTAGACCGATGAGCGTAGTGGCACTGTGGGTTGACAGGTGTGGTTGTGGGTTGACGGATGTGAGTGGTACTGTGGGCTGGGGTGTAGTGGCACTGTGGGCTGGCAGGTGTAGTGGCACTGTGGGCTGTGGTGTAGTGGTACTGTTGGCTGACGGGTTTAGTGGCACTGTGGGCTGGCAGGTGTAGTGGCACTGTGGGCTGACGGGTCTAGTGGCTCTGTGGGCTGACAGGTGTAGTGGTACCGTGGGCTGATGGGTGTAGTGACACGTTTGGTTGACGAAGTAGTAGCAGTGGGCTGGCGGGTGTAGTGGCACTGTTTGTTGGCCGGGTGTAGTGGCACTGTGGGCTGACGGATGTAGTGGCACTGTTGGCTGACGGTGTATTGGCACTGTTGGCTAACGGGTACATTGGCACTGTTGGCTGACAGGTGTAGTGGCATTGTTGGCTGACGGTGGAGTTGCACTGTGCTGACGGATGTAGTGACACACTGTGGGCTGGCGGGTGTGGTTGCACTGTGGGCGACGGATGTAGTGGCACTGTGGGCAGATGGGTGTAGTGGCACTGTGGGCTGGCGGGTGTAGTGGCACTGTGGGCTGACGTACGCAGTGAGACTGTTGGTTGACGAGCGTATTGACAGTTTGAGCTGATGAGACGTGTCGGCACTGTTGACTGACAGATGTAAAGACACTGTGGGCTGACAGGCGTAGTAGTACAGTGGGTTGACGGATGTAGTGGCACTGTGGGTTGATGGGCAAATTGGTGCTTTGGGTTGACGGAATTAGCGCTGTGGGTTGACGGGTAAATTGGCGCTGTGGGTAGAAGGTTTATTTGGAACTGTGAATTGACGGTCTAATTGGCGCTCTGGGTTGACGGGCAAATTGGTGCTGTGGGTTGTCGGGTTATTGGTACCGTGGGCTGACAGGCGTGATATGTTTGGCGATACTGTGGAGTTAAACCTGTACAAAAGCATTTATGAATATCGTATCAACGTTACATTACACGTCCTGTAACCATGTTGGGATACAGTCTTCTATACCGTTATGTATTACCATGATGTGGTAATTCCAATACAAAATTACACATCACTTACTGTATTCTCCTGTATATAAACACCTGCTGTATCATCTGGGACAATATACACACTTACTGTATTATAGACATTATACAAACCTCATTGAATTCCTGAAATATACACACTCACGTATTCTCTAAGGTAAACAATCAATACAGGCTCTATTTTCTAAGATATACTGTATTCTAAAAAATAACCCACACCGCACATACAGTATTTCTAGGATACAGTATATAATTTAATTACTGTATTTATGAAGATACACAAATAGCAGCACAGCTGTAGCATTATAGCAATTAACTCATCGTAATAGAAGAGTTGTCATCATACGCAATGAGTTAAGTCATCGAACCTATGGGGTTAAGCCACTGAAGGGTCTACTATTCTACTCAAAGGGCTGTACTCCAAAGGTTAAGTCACCCTACTCAAGGGGTCAAGTCATCTTAATCAAGGGGTTAAGTCATCATACCAAAGGGGCTAAATTATCGTATTCAATCAAAGGATTAAGTCACCGTACTAAAGGGGTCAAGTCATAGTACTCAAAGATTAAAGTCATAGTACTTCAGGGGTCAAGTCATTGTATTTAAGGGGTCAAGTTATCGTACTTAAGGGGTCAAGTCATCGTACTCAAGGGGTTAAATCATAGTACTGAAATATACAACTGAAGAATAACGAGAAAAAACCTACAACGGGAACTGAGAGAAGGGAGATAAGGGAGAGACACAGTGAGAGAAGTGAGATAAGGGAGAGAGACAGTGAGAGAAGTGAGATAAGGGAGAGACACAGTGAGAGAAGTGAGATAAGGAGACACAGAGTAGAGATAAGGAGAGACACAGTGAGAGAAGTGAGATAAGGGAGAGACACAGTGAGAGAAGTGAGATAAGGAGAGACAGTGAGAGAAGTGAGATAAGGAGAGACACAGGAGAGAAGTGAGATAAGGAGAGACAGTGAGAGAAGTGAGATAAGGAGACACAGAGAAGTGAGATAAGGAGAGAGACAGGAGAGAAGAGATAAGGAGAGACACAGGAGAGAATGAGATAGAGAGAGACAGGAGAGAAGTGAGATAAGGAGAGACACAGTGAGATAGAGACAAGGAGAGACACAGTGAGAGAGGTGAGATAAGGGAGAGAACAGTGAGAGAAGTGAGATAAGGAGAGAGACAGTGAGAGAGTGAGATAAGACACATGAGAGAAATGAGATAAGGAGAGACTAAAGGAGATAGTGAGACATGAGAGAGACAGTAAGAGAAGTGAGATAAGGAGAGACACAGTGAGAGAATGAGATACAGAGATCACAAGGAGAGAGTGAGATAAGGAGAGACAGAGAGAAGTGAGATTAAGAGAGAGACACTGGAGAAGGGAGAGACAGAGGAGAGTGAGATAAAAGGGAGAAAGAGACAGAAGAGAGAAATAGAGAAGTGAGATACGTGAGAGACAGATAATGAGACAGAAGAAATGAGAAGGAGAGATACAGAGAGACAGTGAGAAGGAGACAAGGAGAATGGAGAAGGAGATAAGGAGACACAGAGAAGTGAGATAAGGGAGAGACACAGTGAGAGATGGTGGGAGAGAGGAATATGGTAAAGAATAAAAACAATGAGGAAATGAGTGTAACGTGGGGTAGAAAATAATAGATGATGAATGAGATGGATAAGGAAGGAGGAAGGAGAAGAGAAAGGCAACAAAACTGGAGAGGGGGAAACTGAGGAGAGAGACAGGAGAGAAGGGAGGCAGAAGAGGGGAGCGATAAGAGGGGGAGAGATGCAGAATATAAGAAGGGAAAGAGGCAGAACAGGAGAGAGACAGGAGAGAAGGAAACAGAAAAGGAAAAAGCTAAGAGGAGGAGAGAGATAGAAGGGGAGAGAGGCAGAAGAAGATAACGGTTAAGAGAGAAGGGAGGCATAAGAGGAGAGAGGCAAAAGAGGAGGAGAAGAAGAGAGAGAGGAGGGGAGGGTGATAGAAGAAGAGAGACACAGGAGGGGAAAAAGTAGGAGGAGAGAGAGTATGAGGCGGAGAGACACTGGAGAGCAGAGAGAGATAGAAGAGGGTACAGGCAGAATAGAAGAGGAGAGATACAAGAGGGGGAGAGGTAGAGGAGAGAGGCAGAAGAGAAGAGGAGAGAGACAAGAGGAAGAGACAAGATGGATGAGATGAACGAACCAAGGATGGGGTTGCCGCGAGGTACGGAGGCGCCGCCGAATGAGAAGGCATGAGAGTGGTCAGCCGTCACCAGCAGAAGGGTGTTGGTGGGGTCTACCAGCTTCAATGCCGCCTGCACACACTCGTCCAGGCGTGTCACCTCGTCTAGGGCTCTCGCTGCCATGTTGTAGTGGTGGGCGTGGTCCATCCGTCCCGCTGAGGGTAGTGCAAACAAACTCTTTCTCATCCTCGTCTTATCCACACAACCCACCTCAGCAGGCAGGTCACGGGAGGGAGACAGCCTACTCATGTCATATACGCTAGTGGGTAGGTCTGCTGCTGCACCGTCGGTGGGGTATAGCGTAAATGTGGTGCTTGTCCTACCTGTACTACCAACCAACCAACCAACCAACCACTCACTTCACCACCTTACCTGGTTGCTGGAAGTTGTCTCCCTCAGGATCCTGGTTGGTGGTTGATGAGGTAAGGTAAGTCTGTGTATTACCTGGTGAGGGAGGTAGGGACGGAGGGAGAGAGAGAGCCGACGTAACCATCACCAACATCATCTCCACCATCACCACCATCGTCAACCCGTGAGCTAAACCTCTATCAAGCACAACACATTAGTACAAGTCATGCTGCCGTGGAAAAACATAAACAGTGGCCGTGTCTCTCGCTGTGTTAAGCGTGTAAACATCCACCAACTAACATCTACGAAAATAAAAGAGAATTGATCACAGGGGTCATAATGTTAGAAACAAAATTAAGCCAGTAAACATGCTGCCAGTGGCCACAAGAGACAAGACATTACACTACAGCTTCCCACCACCGATGTTATACAAGAAGCTGACAGACTAGCTTGGGCACCTACACGACACCACACGCTCCCGCTCACTCAAACGTGTCTGAGGTAAATCAAGAATTGACTTAAGCCTCAGCCACAACAAAATAATCCCAATGGTGCAAGATGGAGCGTCGGTATAGTATAGGAAGACAAGAGATAACACCTGAACATTAAAACACATACAATAACGAAAAGGGAGGAACAGGAGACAACAAGAGGATGATGCAAGAAAAAGGAGAAAAAATCTATCTATAAAAAGAGTACCCGTGACGGGATGGCCCCTGGGAGTGTTGTCTCCGCCCAGGGTGAAGACATGGGAGTGGTCTGCCGTGAGCACGTAGAGCGTGTCTGTGGGCGACGTGATGTTCAGGGCACTCTGAACAGTCTCATCCAGAGCAGCGATCTCCTCCAGGGCCCTCCTCCCGTTATTATGATGGTGGGCGTGGTCAATGCGCCCAGCTGAGGAGGAGGAGGAAGAGGAGGAGGTAGGTGGGGAGAAGGAGGAGGAAGAGGTAGTGGTGGTAGTAGTGGTAGAAGAGAATGACGTAGGGGTGGTGGTGGTGGTCGTAGAAGAGGAGGGGGAGGAGGAGGAGGAGGAGGAGGAGGTAGAGGTGGTGGTGGTGGTATAAGAGGAGGGAGGTGGTGCGTGGTATAAGAGGAGGAGGAGGAGGAGGAGGAGGAGGAGGAGGGAGGAGGAGGAGGAGGAGGAGGAGGAGGTAGAGGTGGTGGTGGTGGTATAAGAGGAGGAGGGGCCAACCAGTTAGTATACATAGAAGTGAACGGAGCTTCATTGATATACATAGCTATAGTAACAAGATTCTTACGTGGAACTGAGGCAACAGGCTATCAACATCTACATAAACTGCCTACATTGGCAATCTATTGGTACAGTAACTTCCTACATAGGCTATCTATATGTACAGATACTACCTACAGAGGTTATCCATATACGGCAGTTACCGACATAGCCTGAAAATACTAGCGATATAGGTTATCCATAGATACAGTGATTCCCTATAAAGTCTATCTACAATTATAGGAACAACCCTACATTGGCTATCTATATATACAGTTTACAGATACTACCTATAGAAACTATTCACAGTTAAATAAACGATCTACAAATTACTTAACAAGGGTATCCATAGCTGTAGAAAGTAATCAATGAGGAAGTACATAGGTATATATATATATAGCCACAATACATAACTTTAGAAAGAAAGCCTAATTAGAGACTACATAATGCAAATGACCGTAATTACTGCCTAATTATATGTACCCTTAGAAGATATAGATGCAGTTAGGGATGATTAGTATACATATTTACATCTAAATTAGGACTTCACTGGTATACACATTCCTGTAGAAATAAAGCGTTTATTAGGTAAAATCTACAGAATATTACTCCAGTGACAAGATGAGATATATGTTAAGTTTACACTACATAAATACATTGATTAAGCTAAAGTTTCGAAGACTTGGGGAAATATCTCAGCTTACCCGTAAATTAGTGAGGATGGTCGCTGCCAGATGTCTATGGTGTCACTTGATGAAGCCTAATTTGGTCACATTCAGACTCTCAGTGTTGCCTTAACTTTCGTTTTCGTTCCATTTCTCATGTTCTAAATTTTGTATTAAATATTTTGATCAGATTAATTTTGTATCTTCACGTTTAAATCTTTAGAATTTTGATTTGTTTTTGCATATTTTGTTTATGTATTTATCATCTATCAAAATTGAGTCTCTCGATATTTGGTGACAAAAGAAAAGTGATTAAGTTTTTAGGATGCATAGCTCGTCTTGTATCCCAACGGTTGTTAAGATAAGTCTTGGGCACCTTCCGTCGACCCAGTTGTGAATGGGTACCTGTCTTTACAGTCGAGGATATGTAGGCAATCGACTGCAATATCTGCCACAATACCTCCTTGTGTACTGAGGCTTAATACTCAGTGAACATTATCCCACTCCTAAAGATTTAACCCAACTTAGTGTTGAACTTAACCCAACATAACATAAAGTTAGGATATGTTAAAGTTACAGCCACCAATCTTGAAATTCCACTGGTAAATGAGGATACTATATTGTTGATGAAAACTGACCAGGTATGATTCTTCACTGTATACTAAGCAACATCAAATTCGTTAATATTATGCTAATTTTAACAGCATATGATATTAATTAGCTTCACTTAGCAATAACTGCCAATGATAACAATTTCAAACATAATTAAAAATGAAATAGATTACAACAACGTATATAGATTTATTGCTTAAAGTTCTCACCATATGGACTGTTTATATATGTAATGATATCATACTTAGATTGATCCTCTTATCATTACAGAAATACATTAAATAAGTGTCAATAGACTCTGGTTGATTATATTATCGTCCCAGCGAGAATATATTTCTTCTTATTGTTCTTCCCTGTGTATACTAAGTTCAGTCTTCTCACTCAATAAACCTTACCTAACCTAACCCACAATTATCTCCTCAAACAGACAACCTTAACATAGATGAGGACTGATAGTACCTAATTATGTTTCGACAGACAAAGAGACAAACATTCAATACACCTATAGCAGCAGCGACCATCCCCATTCCCTGATGATAGTTATTAGTTATATATATATATATATATATATATATATATATATATATATATATATATATCAGGGTGAGTACAGACTAGTCTTACTCACCCCGAAGATGTGAATTATACGAAAGCGCTTGGGAACTTCGTGTTTTCTTCTTTCCTTGTGGTTATCAGCATATACCTAGATCACGCGCACCTACAGTGATTTATTGCATATATATATATATATATATATATATATATATATATATATATATATATATATATATATATATATATATATATATATATATCATTTAGATCCACAATGAAGACGTGGATAAGATAAATCTTGATAAAATCACACAGGAAAAGGGAAACAACGGAGTTAAGAGTAAATTACGGAAAGAAAATACGTAAGACATAAATCGTAGAAAAATATACAAAATACCATGATAGAAGTTAAACAGAAAGTAGGACACTGAAACTGAATTGTACTAAAACTAAACTGAATGTGAAGTTGAAGATGAAACCTATTTTGAAAATTGAACTGAATGAAACAAATAAAACACATTGTGAAAAAACTGAACCTAAGCTGATTTTAGAAGAAGAGGAAGAAAAAATTATTTCTAAGGAATAAAAGTTAAGTCTAGGTCACCTGGACACTAATGAGTTACAATACTGAGGTCAGATGATCACAAAACAAATACATATTCAACTTATACTGAATCTGAAACATAGTAATGTATGTAAAAATACAGCATAATACAACAAATATAATACAAAATCAATCACATCTGAAATATAAATATTTATTATAATTCTTTTGTCATTTGTTCCCATTTTATGAGATAAATAAACATCCTGGAAAATTAAAGTTTTTGGTTTGAGTAATATTTAAGTGTTGGAAAAGAAAAAAATGCACATTGCTGAAGAAAAAAACCCCTTAATTATAAACCCTGAAAAACAAAAATAGTATAAACAAGATATCAGTTTGGGAGAATCCGAAGAAAATCGTAAACTGAAAAAAAAAAATTAAAACATTTTCTATCCCGAAAATATAAGTTAATTTAAGTAATGATAAGCTGCCAATACTTTTTTACCCTGAAAATATAAATTAATTTAAGTAATGATAAGTTTTCAACACTGAAATGGAAATATAAGTCCACTCTGGGTCCTCCAAAGTATTAAAGATTCAAGAAAATTATTCGAAGCATTACTCGAACCAGTTTCATAAACCACATAAATGAAAACAATTGTAAAATAGTCCATAATTACAAAGACAAAAGTCATAATTAATATAACTCTTAGTTTTATTCAATACATCTAAATAAATAAATAAAAATATATACTAGTATCAACGGGCATCAGTTTGAGAGTGAAAAATAAAGATTATTTCTGGGGGTTCATGATAAGTAAACGCTGACTCGGTGGAAAAGATTCGAAGCAATCCTCTAAACCAGGTTCATCCCACCTGAAGCCTTCTGAGCCACGTATTCCAACCACCGCAGAATAAACCTTGGAAAACTCTTTACCACCACTACCACCACCACTACCACCTATACCACCATCACTACCAACACTGCCACTAATACCACCACTACCAATACTACCACTTCCAACACAACCACCTATACCACCATTAACATCACTGCCAATACTACAAGCATCACTACCACCAATACCACCATCACTATCACTACCAGCATCACAACCACCTACGACTATGCGACCATCAATACCACTAACAACTCTACCACCTATACCACCATCACTACCACCACTACCACCAATACCA